AGACCTATGTCATAAGTTGATTAAGAAGAGTTGTTCCAACAAATTAGATTAAGGGAAGTTTGTTTTTTTCAGTCCCCTATGGGATTTAGAGTTTGGAGTTATTGAGTACGGTATGAAGTGATTTGTGTGTTGAGAGATGAATATTTGTTCATTTGTAATTTGCCTTATTTTTACCACAGGTCATTTTGAGAGCATCTGGGTTTCTAAAGCAGAGAAAATAATAAATCGAGAATTGTTTGCAGTTCATTTAGTTTATCTTTATTTGTAGGATACCTTGGAGTAGGGGCGTCTCACTTTCACCATAGGAATTAGTAGGGTGGGAAGGTGGTGGTTGATTCCATCCCACACCAATACACTTCAGGAAGCCACCGTGTTAGTAGATCTGAAGCCTATCCCTTCTGGTTCTGTTTTTATATGGTGTAAGCTAAAGCATACACATAGTGCATACTGAGACCGAAAGCACCAGGGTGCGGATTAAGATCCTTACACTCCTGAGTCTTCCAAGGTAACACAGTGGTTCCCCCCTACAAGGCAGGACTGTGTCCTGTTACATACTGTTGTGGAAAAATGATCTTTTAAAGCTCAGTGAGTGTAAAATAAATGCTTAACATCAATTCTGAAAGTTATTACATATTTATACCTGCAGAAAGGAGTGTTCTCTGAACAGAGTGTCTAAACCAGTTGGTTACAGGGAAGCTCAAAGAACAGAGTGTGACAGTCCTTCTCATACACAGCATACAACAAAGAAGACAGATGCTCAAACAGATAAAGGAAACAGGATACAATTCACAACAGGATACCAGCCCTTTGGTCCCAGGTCACATCTAGTTTGGCAACCACAAGGACCTACAAAGGTTTACAACCATGCAATAAACGGTCTGGGGTCACAACCACACAAATGACTGCATACAATGACATGAAAGCCACAGCTAAAGAACTTAAAGGGTGCTACTATAAAAATTGCCACCACACATACTCATTGGGCACATGCATAATTGCACAGTCACTGCTGAATATTTGTAATTTACGGCTCCCACATAGCATATATTCTCTCTACTGTATTTTTATTGTGCTTCTTTCACTTGCTGCTTGAAAGTGCCTTAGATTTGTGTTACTGCTCATTAACTTTTTATTTCACTTGTATTGTGTGGCATTCATGTGGACGGCAAAGTAAGAATTTCATTGTACAGGGAAACACATTTCCTAACTGTGCATATGACAAATAAACACTTTGACCTTGATTCACGTTTCGCATTCACCAATTTAATTTGTGTTTTATCTCTGATGATCGATGCTGTTAGGTATTTTTAGTCAGATAGATATTGAATAGATACTATAAGCTTCTATTTCTCTACGAAGCCTCTTCCGGCTCTTTTAAACCAGGAACTCACAATAAGACGAAGCAGACCGCTTTAGATTTTATAAAAAATAACCGTGCTGGTTTATTCAGAGGATCACAGGTAAAATTAACATTACACGTCCAGATCTCTCCCACCACCAACCTGCGCGCAGGCAGCTTGGAAGATCAAAAACCCTGGACCATGAAACCTATATAATTTTTCCACACTATAGAGCTGATATATTCATGTTATGTATATTTAATGTAATGGGGGTTGAGTAGCTTGGGGTCCCAGGACAGAAACACTCATGTGAAGGGATGGCACAGTCTAAAAAAAGCTTGGGAAACACCACTTATCTTCACCTCCTCATGTGAATCTATTACTTGTGGTGACTCCTTTCTCATGTTAGGTATTTTTAGTCAGATAGATATTGGATAGATACTTTATGTATTAGAAATGTATAGTGGAGATAGGATGTATAGTTAGACTATTAAATGCTTAGGCATGTTTATGAGTTTCTACAGGGTACATCTGGTCAAGGATACCAAAGAGAAGAGTTAATGACTGTCAGCAGTCAGGGAGTTTAATATTATTGTTACGACGTGTATAACTGTAGCCTTAGCCATAATATGTTCTTATGTTTAAGCCACGACATGTTACTAGAGGTCATGAGAATGTTTTTAGCTACACACCACTTAACCAACAGACACACACATTCACACGTTGATTTGCTTCATGTTTTGACTACTGCTATAGCCAGCTGCAGAGCTGGCAACAGAGATGTCTCGGTTGATGTTTCTGTGTGGTATGGGGCTAGCCCAACCGAGGTGATATAATGTATAGGCCTGGTGGGCTCAGGGTCTTTCATCTTACATCTGCCTGCGTGCAGTATGGAGGTGCAAGATACTTGAGCATGTAATGTTAATTTTACCTGTGATTCTTTGAATAAATCAGCACTGTTTTGTAGTTACTTGGACTGCCTTGTCTCTCAGAGTCAGTATGGTAAAAAGTATGGGGTACAACAAACTAAACTTGCTTGTGGTGAAAATGTAAACATACGTTCTGTGTGGCGCAGATTGTTCAGATTTCTCACATAACATAATTACATCGGTCTGTCGATGCATCAGCTGTTTCTACATCCGATTTGTGTTACAATAACTCCATCTGCTGGCGCTGTTGACAATATATGTCTGATTTGTGTTTTTGAAGAAATAAAAACAGTTTGAATCAAAAGTTATGTGTGTCTGTCTGTCTTTTGTGAAAATTAAATGGTACGTTTATCATCAAGGCTGAGGTTAAATAACTGCTTAATGACATTTATTATAAAGTGGATAATCTGGGTTTATTGGATGGTGTTGACCGATTAAACATGCTGCTGAAAATCAGATGGGTACTAAATTTAAAACAAGATATGAAACACTGGCTGTCTGAACAAGATGCATACACATTACACAAACCCACACTGTATAATTTTAACAGTCTCTTTGTAATTGAGCTTATGCATCAATTTCATGTTGATTTGTGCAATATGCAACATATAGCCAAGCATAATGGTGGGTTCAAATATATGCTGACAATAATTGATGTTTTTTTTTTTTAAAAACAGCCTACGCTGAAAACGAAGATGGTGTCATCCTACTGGCTGTTCTGCTCCTTCTTGGTTTCTGGCTCTTATTTTATCATGCTTCCTCTTTGCCTTGCCTGTCTGCCATCAGCTTTACTGTTGTTAATTGGAAGCAGCTGGAGCCATTTGAGTCCAAGCTGCTTATAGGTGTTCCAGCACCCTGCAGCCTATGTGAAGAAGACAGAGAGAGATTTCACATTAGAGACAAGACCTATCATGGACTTGGAGCATGTGATAGAGATGAGCTAGAGGAGGACAATGTGCTCTGCTTGCATTATTCTGATGAACAAAACAGAAATTCAAGACAGGCAAACAGCAGCAAGACTACGTACTCATAAATGTTGTATTACATTTTGATATTCAGACATAAAACATCATTAATGGTTTCCATAATTATGAACTGTTGAACTGTTCACTGCTAATTATAGCTAGGCCTGCAGACTGTGTAAACATGGCAAAAATCTCATGCTTGTAGGCAAATTAATAATTTTATTTATGTTCACTATATAAAATCAACTAATTATGCCAATCCGCAGAAAACACTGACTTATTTACATTCAAATGTGTGCAGATTTTTTTTTTTTTTAAAGTCCTTTTCATGTCATGCCAGTAACTGTTTCATCACTAGTTTAATAGCCTACAGTAGGCTTTCCACCCTGTGTCCTTTTTATATTTATCATAATCTATTCATACTAGTGAGGACAAAATGCAAATCAAAACATCTCATCCACAGACAAAGATTTCCTGTAATGATACTTTCTATAAAATGTTTTACTTGTTTATAATTATTTGGGCATTGTGTGTCTCTAAAAACAGGCCTAACTGTTGATGTTGCAGTGAAATAACTTATATAGACCTTCAGTATACTGCGTTTGGTGCATCGTCAGCACCTGTGGTTGCTGCTGCTGGTTTTGGGGTGTTGGGGGAGGAGGGGCAGGAAGCCACTGAATAGTGACAACAAACAGACATAGAAAGCAGGAAGCGAAAGTCTGACCATTTGAAAACAGTTCCTGTCACATTGCAGTCAAGGATGGATAAGTTTAAGATAGCTCTGAACATTGCCAATAAACAGACCAACTTTGGTTTTGGGTTGGTTGCCATACTGACAGCAGGAGGAGAGCAGATCTTCTCCTCAGCGGTGTTCAAGTGTCCATGCAATGAGTTGAACTTCCTGTACGGCATAGTGTTTCTGCTGGTGCCTGCTTTGGCTCTGCTGCTGCTGGGTTACATCCTGAGTAAGAAGACATGGAAGCTGTTGACGGGGGTCTGCCAGCATAGGGCCAAACTGTGCCACTGGAGGAAGGTGGCTGCCGCCGGGATGGTCCTCTTTCAAATCAGCACTGCCGCACTGGTGGCGCCTTCCAGCTGGATTGCTGTGGCTCTGCTGAATGGGAACTACTATGAGTGTGCAATGACAGGAACCAATGTCAGCACTTACAACAAGCATCTGTGTGGAGCTACAAGCTATCAGGCTCAGTGTGAGAAGGAGGTGTACAGGTTCCCTTGTGGGAGGCCTAGCAATATACCACAGACTGACAGAGAGGATGTCCTGCTCACCGTTAGAGCTCAGTCTCAGGTCAGTGCTGAGTCTGGTGTGTGCCTACTCTTCTTCTCCAAAAACAGTACTCTTCCAACAAGGGCAACTTACTTTTATGTTTAAAGTTAACAAAAAGTAAGTAATATGATACCATGGGGCATTTTCCACCAAACTGCTATGGTGGCATAAAAAAAAATTAAACATTAAAAGTAGTTTAAAATTCAGACCTGGAAAAAACTTTCTGTAGCCAGGGATATTCACCACACCAAACAAAGCAACCCAGCATTAACATGTTGAATATCCTCATGCTCCTTTCTGGAAAATCAGTTTTCTGTTACCTCTTGTTGTCAGTTGCAGCTATCAGCATACAAAACTGCATTGTTCTTGTTATGTTATCCTTTAAGTCACCTTTAATTTCACCTTTTAACATCTTCTGTACCTGAAATATACACTGATACTGTGTGTTAATGGTGACCACAGATTCTCGGTTGGCTGCTCATCGCCTCTGTCATGTTGTCCAACCTGCTGCTGACTTGTGTGTCTCGGTGCACCTCCCCCATCAGTTACCTGCAGCTCAAGTTCTGGAGAGTCTATGCTCATGAGGAGAGTGACATGATTGATTCATACGCTCCTAAACATGCCAAAGAACTCGCAGAGAGGAACCTGAAAAGCTTCTTCAACCAGACACCACCTGTGGACATCATCACCCCATCCAACAAGGACTGGGAGAAGATCTCTTCACTCTACAAGTTTAGCACCAAAAGCCAGTACTACAGCACCTTGCACCACTATGTGGAGAACTGTCAGATGGGCAATAGCGGGTTGTTGAGAATGGCTTCAGTGAAGTCAAACGAGGTTACTGATGACAACCCTGCTGTTCTTCATTTTGTAGATGATGGCAGGATGTCACTGTGAAAGGGTTTTTCAGCATCAGAGGGCTGTGTTGTGGTTAGACCAGTTTGATGATATCTTGATTATACTGACACGGTACACAGAGCGATTCTGGCTCTTAATCTATAGAACCAAGGAGCAGTGACAAATTTAAAAAGTACAGCTTCAGGAGTCATCCCATATTTTTCTCTTAAAGAATAATAAATTGGCCTTAGCATTAGTAGAGTAGAGAGCCTAGCCCTGCAACTGTTCCTTACAGAAATGCTTAAAATTGTATAATATGAAGTTTACTATGGACAAAATGTGAGCTGATCTGTCTTATCATGACTTCAGTCATTGTCGTCCTCAGCATCACCATCATCATTAAGTAACTGACAGCAATCTGGGGTTCAGTATTCTACTAAAAGACACTTTAACATGCAAACAGGACAACTGGGGCCAAACCAGTAACCTGCTCTATCTTCTGAGCCGCAACCTGAAAAGATGTGTGATATAACATATACAGCATATTATAATAATAAGAAAGAGTATAAAGGCAGAGATTCACGTGAGCCTTATGTGCACCAAATGATTTGTTTACCATGTCTGTGTGGGCTTAAACAGGAAATGTGTCATCTTCATTCAGTGGCTGTAAGTGCATTTCCTGTGTGCTGCTGGTAGACTGCATACATACATGCAAACATTCAGCATATAAGCTGAAATGAGTATATTTCATGTAATAACTTACTGCACACTCTAAAAGGCAAATTGATGACTGCAATGATTTTGCTACTATCAATGGATAGCAATGTGTTTCATGTATGCAGATTCACAGCTTTCTGTATAATGTGGAACAGAAACCCCATTGTCAGAATATGATCACTTCCCCATTCTCGTCTTTGCTGCAACAATGGTATGTTCCCCTTGAAAACCATTTCAACAGAGTGAACGAATGCTCTTATATATGACTTAATGTATTTGTCTTTCCTCTATGTACCTTTGTCATTGCAGATAGAAATTGATTTCATCATGTTGAATTCATGCTGTTGAAATGTGGAATTAAGACTTGTTTGAAAAGAAACAAATCAAATTATATTTTACCATTCCTATAAATGAAAGACTGCTTCACATAAAACTGAACAGAAATGTAAGCATGGCACTGTTTCACTTGCTTTGGTGATTCTGTTTATCAGATTTTGTCACAGTCATTAGTCAGAGAATCGTGATCATAAATCTAGACAAGCAGGATTTTTGCAAATGAAGGAAATAGTACAGTTAGAGCTGATGAGGGGAGTTTAAAAAGATGAATGCAGACAGAAAAATGCAGGTGGAGATGTTTTTTTTTTTACCACTGGCATTTTTAGGTGGCAGCAGAGCAGCCCAGCTACCTTCCTATAGAAAAGGAGTAGATATGTTGAGGAAAGAAGAAGTGGGTGGGTGTCAGACTGACAGAAGGAGGAGCATGAAGAGCAGAGACACAGCCAGAGGGAGGAGCACAAACTGGTTTGGCAGATGGGGTTTGTCTTCAATTGTGAAAGAACAGCAGACAGCGAATGACCGCAGGCTGAACAGACTCTCCAGTTTTTCAGTTTTCACTTTGGTTTTCTTTCACTTGGCTTAATTTCTCATGCACTGTGTCCAAAACCTGCCTGGTAATACCATGGATACGTTCCAGACTGTCCTGCGTTTCTTCCTGAACCAGAAAACCACCATTGGCTACAGTTTCATGGCTCTCATTACTATAGGTGGGGAACGAATCTTCTCCATGGTCTCCTTTCAGTGCCCCTGTAACCACACCCAGAACTTTGCCTATGGTTTAACTTTCCTGCTGGGCCCTGCTGCAGTGCTCCTGGTATTTGGTCTGTTCTTCAGCAGCAGTCTGTGGAGGCTTTACACTGGCTGCTGCCTTAATCCAATGAAGCTTTGCCCCCATGGGAACTGCTTCAGCTGCCTTAAGGTGTTCATGGGCATCTTCACTGGGGCATGTGTTGCTCCTATAATGTGGCTCTCTGTGGCCTTGCTCAATGGGACTTTTTATGAGTGCGCCGTCAGTGGTCTCAATGACAACCTTGTGGTGGATCTGTTCTGTAAAAACAAGACATTGAAATGTCGGGAGGAGCTTGCCCGAGTCCCCTGTGACCGGTCCAAACTGTCGAGTGATGAGCGCATGGAGTTGTTGCTTATGCTCCGGGCTCAGTCGCAGGTAAGAGACACATACCTCGGTCTGTGTGAGCATTTAGAGAGCTGTAGTTCAACAAAAACTGATGATTAGGGAGTAAGACTAATTCTGTGAAAACAGTTGTATAATGTTTTCTATGGATTTGGAGGAGTTTTATCAAGTCTGAGAAAATAATCCTGATGTCATAAGGGCTATTTCATTGTAGAATCAGACACTATAACTTTATAATACAATGCCTGTGTTTCAGATTGTAGGTACAGAGAAGGTATAGAGAAGAAAATGGCATTTACCAGGCAGGAAGTGTCTAATGAAAGTTGCTATTCATTTGCATTATGGGAAATGTAGGTTTTTTTATGTTTGATTGTTCTTGGAGTTTGACACAAATTTGGGACTAAAAGTCAGACTTTGTCAGTCTCTGATATATCAGTTTGGACCACATTTTAGCCTAGGCTGCTGGGAGGCCCCATGATGCTCTGACTTTCCAGCTACATTGAATGAATTTGTTGAATGCACAAATGGGCATCATCCTAACAGAGCACTTTGCTCTCAGAGTGCAGGTTTACTTGTGGTTTCTAAAATCCACAGAAGTAGAATGGGAGGCAGAGCCTTTAGCTATCGAGCTCCTCTCCTATGGAACCAACTCCCAGCCTGAGTTCGGGAGGAGGACACCCTCTCTACCTTTAAGATTAGACTTAAGACTTTCCTTTTGGATAAAGCTTATAGTTAGGGCTGGATCAGGTGACCTCGAGCCTTCCCTTAGTTAGTGCTGCTATAGGCCTAGGCTGCTGGGGGGCCCCATGATGCTCTGACTTTCTCTCCTCTCCTCTCCTCTCTGCCTATGCTTCTATATGCCACCATT